GAGGCCTTTTATAGGCAAAATCTTGATGAAAACCGCACCTTAGAGATGCGATTTTCGTCTGCCATGCAGGCCCATACAGACCCACGTCTGTAACTTCTGCATGCATGTCGGAAATTAATTGACCAAAACCGCACCTTTAAGGTGCGGTTTGCATGTTAAAATCGCATCCTCATGGTGCGATTTTGTCTGCCAGAAACAGATCGCACCCCAGGCATGCGATTTAACTAGGGCTGGCTCTAAATCGCACCTGGGCCATGCGATTTTAGTAGGTCAGACCTAAATCGCATTTTGGCCATGCGATTTTACTAGGTCAGACCAAAAATCGCTTGGCTAAGGTGCGATTTGATTCCAGATTTTTGGAACGCACTTGTAGGGTGCGATCTACTTATAAAACGCACTTGTAGGGTGCGATTTATATGTAAAACGCATCTACAAGGTGCGTTCTATTAAAAAGGGTGCTATTAGTGGAATTTTTTTTACATGGGTGCTATTTTTGTAATTTTTTTTTTAAAAGGTGCTATTTCTGGAAAAATCCCTATACGGTACAAGGTTTACCGGCTAGTCAGTTACCAATTACCAAATTGGTTACTCAAATAGATCTTATCCATCATCCAACCACCCATATTTATAGTGCTTGGAAGCACTTCATGGCCGAAACACATAATGTTTCAAGCGGACAGTTATATGGTAAAAGACATGCTTCTTCACTAAAAGTAGCATCGTTTGATTTCTAATGTGACCGGTTAGCATTGGTAACTTCCTTTACCAAATGATGCGTCCATTACCAAGGGATGTGCCCCTTGCCATTCAAAACCAGGCTTATCCAAAGTTGCATTGCATCATGGCCATATGAACTCCATTTCATTGTCATGTAACAATGTTTCGATACAACTTTTGGTGTTTGAATGCACCAGTGTATGCAAACTAATTATTAATTATAAATAATTAGTACAATGGACCAAAATCAAATTTTGGTTGGACCCGTCCATTTGATATGGTTCGACCAAATTCCAACAATCGTCCCCCATATTAGTGTATTCAAAGAATTCACTAAAATTACAAAATTCTTCCAACAAAACTTAAGCATAAATGAAAATGTCGTGACGATTGAATTTTCATCTTAGTATATTACACTTAACGAATATTCGAATATATGGGTGTCGATAACGATTGAACCCATCTACTCAAATGAATATTCGAAGATAATATACACTCAAGTTTTCAAAACTTCTAAGTGCCTTGACACTATTGCCCGCTATGTGTTCAATCTTTCTCATAAGCGCACACGAAACCAAAGTCCGGGTTTCTTGAAGCAGCTATGCTTCATGCTTACGTAGGGTGAATCTCTTATTCATGTACCCGCATAATACACTTTTTCAAAGATTCAATTAAGAAGTTTTGAACTTCATCATCTTCTCTCATGCAAGATAACAAGCACATACCTCGGGATGACAAATTGTGTACTTCAATTTCTGATAATGAGCTTTCCACATTGAATTCGGCCTCTAACGTTGTATTAGAGGGGAATTGGGTGTCCCATTACCAGAAATTATATGGAATTTAATCCATCCCTTTTACAGACTCGATCACCAAGTCACTAATTAACCATTTAGTCAAATGATCACCCTTTTTTTTGTTCGGTCATATTTGTACATACACAAATCTACAAGTGATCAATTCATAGATTTTACCGTGCATAACTCCTACAAGACCATACCTTTTCATTTTACACTTGGCTATATGCCTTAGCCAAATTACCATTACTACAAAAAGATAGTAATAAAATGAGATTTGTTTAGGCCATGAAAGAATACCATAAACCAAATCTCTCAACCATCACACAATTTGACTCCATAGTGAAACCATTGATGTAAGTTTGGTTTTTAGAGGCCCAAGAGATGTCACCTCTCCCAAGCAAGAGGACTCATCTTGATGTTAAAGCATCACCTTTAACATGACTAATCCAACTAACATCAATAAATTCTTCCAAAATGGATGGAAACCCACTATAAGTCAATGCATAATGCACTGTGCCTTATAGATTTCCTAGTACATGCCTCATTTCATTCCAAATGATAAGCACTAAGGATTACTCATACACCAACTTAATATTCCTACCCCATACGTAATATATGGTTTTATGCAAGTCATTGCATACATCAAGCACCCAATCAACATGGAAACTCTAGCTGTTAAACTAGTTGACCAATATTAACCATTAATTCCAAACTTGGATCCACTAGGGCTTTTACTAGCGACAATTCCTACTATGAAAAATTTTCAAGTACCTTCTCAATGCAGAAAATTGAGAGAAAGAATATTCTTTGTCGTACCACTTGATTCAATAGACAAAATCATAGTTACCTCCTCCATGTCCTAAATGGAGAATTTAAATAACAAATTTTTATCAAAGTTCACTTATCTTTTATTGGTTCCAAAGATAAGCATGTCTTATACATACAAATGTACGATGACTTCATTACCAGAATCATCATAAATTGTGTACACATTTTGTCTCTTTGGTTTAAAATAACATAAACCACTAGACAAAATTACTAATCGATTGGTCCCAAAGATATATATGTTATCTACATACAAACACAACGACTCTATTACCAGAATCATCAAACATTGTACATACAATTTTGTCTCCTTGGTTTAAAATAGCATAAACCACTAGACAAAATCATACCACCAAACCACTAGACAAATCCAAATTTATCTAGAACTTTGTAAATATCGAATAGAGAATTAGACTAATTAACCCTTGAGTATGTGACCTACACAAAGGCAATTGTCATTCTTCTATTTCTCCATTTTATGAAGCATTCTCCTTCTTCCAAGTTACCCTCCGAATATGGAATACACTATGAGACTAGTACGAAGAAAACTCATCTTCTACTACCATCGATGAAAGACTCATCGAACATTCTCATAATTCCATAGACCGAAACTGATTTCTTGTAAAGAGCGGTTCGTGCCATCGTACCAGAAATTATTCTTAACGATTGTTGGGACTTTTTGGGACGAGGGTACACGTACGATAGCCCGAGACCGGGTGAGCATGATTATGATAGAATCGTGAACAACGTTCACTTTCCGTAAAGAATATTTTCACCCTCTACAAAGCCTTGGATTACAGGAAATTTCATCGTAGGATAAAACTATCACCACTTTTGGTTCTAAGCTCAAGAACCTAAAGCATACTTAGAAGTTTAGTAGGAAGAAGAATAAAATTTTTTGGTGTATCTTATCCACCATCCGACCACCCATATTTATAGTGCTTGGAAGCACTTCATGGTCGAAACACATAATGTTTCAAGTGGACAGTTATATGGTAAAAGACATGCCTCTTCACCAAAAGTAGCATTGTTTGATTTCAAATGTAACCGGTTAGCATTGGTAACTTCCTTTACCAAATGATGCGTCCATTACCAAGGATGTGCCCCTTGCCATTCAAATCCAGGCTTATCCAAAGTTGCATTACATCATGGCCACGTGAACTCCATTTCATTACCATGTAACAATTTTTCAATACAACTTTTGGTGTTTGAATGCACCAGTTTATGCAAACTAATTATTAATTATAAATAATTAGTGCAATGAACCAAAATCAAATTTTGGTTGAACCGGTTCATTTGATTTGGTTCGACCAAATTCCTACAAAGATGATATGAGCGATGATCGGTTGTTCCTGGCCAGCACGCGAGTCGTGGAGAGTCTTGGATCTAGTCGCAGGCGACATGAAATTGCACTTCGCCAGAGATGAATTGAAAGAGCAGAGGATGAGATATTGGTGGCGGCTGATTGTTCTTTGGCTGTGGGTGACTGGCTATGGGTCCACGGGAGGGAGGAATGGGTTAGGGTGGTTACTTATTTTTTAGTAATCATGGTGGCAACCTCTTTATATACCATTTTATTTTCTATTTTCCCTTCCTTTTTTATCAGACGGTCAAAATTCTTTTACACCCTGTTTCCGAAGTAGGGGAGGAAAAGGAGGGGAGGGGAGAGAAAATTTGGAGGTGAAGGAAAATTGGAGGGAAAGGGAATTGGAGAGAAAATGTTATTTTATGGGGGAAAGTGAAAAGGATAGAGGGAGGGAAAAAGTATATAGGAAAGTGTGATAGATATGTTGTTTTCTTCGGCAATTATAAAATTCAAGTGACAAAGTATTCATATCGGATTATATTGAAAAGTGTGATGTACATGTTATTTAATTGGTTATGTTATAGTAAAATAATTTAATTATACGTTCAAATGAATATCATGAATAACCAATCATTACCATTTTCATTTTTACAGACTAATATAACTAAATATAGCAATCTTTAGCCAATGTGTCATTTATATTATGAAGCTTTCAATATGCTATTTGTGCTATGTCGTTAGCTAAATGTGAAAATCGCAAACAGTTCTACCGAAAAATCGTACTCCAAACTCAAATGTGATTTTACTATATAATGATCTCGAACATACATTCCCCAACTATCAGTCTATAATTATAAGTTTCTTTTTCATAATAAAAGCTACGAAAAAAATTATGGGCAAAGCTTCTATACTTTGTTTTCCATCAATAAAAGCTACCTGTAGCCATTTTAAAATGGAAAAGAAATAAAGAAAGAATTTGGGACAACAAAGCTACCTTTGTTGCTATTTCAGTATTTTGAAAAGGAAAAAAAGCCCAACTTGTTTTCTCTCCATTTTGGAGGGACTACTCCAACAGTGAATCTTCCTCCCTAAATCCTTTCCCTCCCCACTGTTCAGTCATTGGAGAACGGGGGAAAACGTATTGGGAAACCCCCTTCCCCTCCCCTCCCCTCCCTTTCCTTCCTAAAAAAACACAGGGTTAGGGTAATTTTGGAAATGAAAAAGTGACCACACCTGATTATTCTATATAATCTACCCAAACCCTAGTTCTAACCTCCCTCCAGCCAAACCCGCCGCAGCTGCCTCCACCACTCCCGTCGCACTAATCCCATCAGCCGCCTATTCTACCCCCAATGACGATGACTCTGTGCAGGCGACGACGACTGCCGCCGCTGTTGTTGTGCCCTACTCTGACTACGTCGCCGCCCTTTCCCACTCATCTTCCTTCCTCACCTTCGGACTCTGCCACTCCCACCACTAGTCTCGCCGGCCACCTCCACCAGCTCCAACGCATCCGCCGTCGCCCAGCCTCGAAACAAGCAACTCCTTCGCTCCCGAACTGGAAGCTCATGGAAGAGAGAAAATCTATTCATGTCCTCTTCATTGCCTTCGAGTGGAGAGAGATGGAGAGGGATTGAAAGTGAGCAAACCATGGATTATATCTATATAGATACATGGAAGGTAACGAGAGCGAGAAGCATAGCAGTGGAGGAAGGCAAAACCAAAAAGCAAATGAATTGATTTTTTTTTATGCAATGGTAGTGATCTACCATTTTTTGTAGTTATCTGCATACATTGGTAGTGCTCTTGCAATGGTAGTGATCTTTTGATGGATTGGTATGTTATTTGATCTTGCAATGGTAGTGGTCAAGATGAGTTGCACTGTTTGTTGATATTGCAATGGTACGTGCGTGCGGTTTTGTTGAGACTAGCATGCATTGGTAGTGATCTACTGTATGTAATGGTAGTGTTCATTGTTATATGTACAATGGTATTGTTCGAGTTTTATGGAATGATATTGATTACCATACATAAGGTTGCTACAAACACTAGTTACTAACAATAGCAAAACATAAAAAAACTATGCCAATACCAATCAAACCAAACATATATACTAATAAAGATATGTATATATACATAGACAAAAATAAATCATACTCCTACGATGTCTGACGAAGAGCGACGTCAACCATATGTCTACCAACGCATAACTAATGACACTAATACCATTAAAACACAGGGACAAGCAACACAATTCATTTTAATGGTACTGATACTGAACCAATACCAAATCATGCACATCTTACAAGTTAAAACCATTATGCATTGCATCCAACTCATTTTCAATATTGAATACCAATCCATCAACAAAGATATACACCAATACCACAATGTAAACACTACGAATAAAACACAGTACCACTACCAAAACAATAAGCACCAGAATACCATTCGTACCCTTAGTAGCCACAGTGATTACTATTTTGTAGTAATCACCGTAACCACTCACAGACACTTTCGGCGATAGAGGAGGAAGGTTCTGTTGGGAATCAGATATACCAGGGTAACCATCGGTTAATAACCGACTAGACTATGGTATACTGATTGCTGGTTGTTGACTATCGCTTACGGAGACTGTTGGCTTGCTGTTTCACCTGTAACCACCGCATGGGTTTTCTTAGGCCTTGCTTAGTATGACTATTTTTTTATGTTGTTTATCGTATAAATTATGGAAATCAAGAAAAAACTATTCATTTGGATGTATTTTTATTGGGTATGAACATATGGTCAAATTCGAACCCAAATATTATAGTTGATGGGCGAGTATGATTTTCTCGCTATCTATTCTGAACCCGTCCAATTATACACATGCATGTGTTTTTTTATAAAATAATGATTATTTTTTTCAACATATTTTATATTTATCCTACATAATACTTTCATGAAATTGTATTATTTTCATCTAAGTTTCTTCATTATAGTAATTTATTATTGTAATTTTCATATACAATTAATTGGCGGGTTCAATCTGCGGTGTGACGTACGATTAATTAGGCATTTAGGCTATGGAACAAGTTTAATTGCTTTGCATCCATTATTGTGGGTCCATCTATCCATTCCATTCCCCAACACCAACCAGACAGACCAGCCAAAGATTTGAATTCCGCAGAACGAAACGGAACAAACCCACTCCAACCCATACAGCCCAGCTTCCTTTACCTTCCGCCGGCTTCTACTTCTCCGCCATAAACAATTTTAAAGGTTCGATTCCCCTTAGTCGGATTCGATTCTCGAGTTCGTGTTTGTTTTCCCCCATTTTAATCGGATTAGTTTACTGCCGTCCGGTCCAACCTTATCGTCTCTGAGATTTCAAATTCCGCGCCATTTGTATAATCCAAAGGTAACCGTTCCCAGAAAACCCTAATCCCCCCCCCGAGCCGGATTCGGGGTTTAATTAGATCCAATTATGCCTTCGGGGCAGAAAGCTGGTCCGAATCCGGCGGCCATGCTCTCTTCCCTTGTGGCAAAGCGGGAGAAGCTGCAGGAGGAGCTCCGCACCATCGAGAAACAGGTCCCAATCCTGAAAAATGTTGCCTTTTACCATTCCGCTTACTGGGTTTCCTCTATTCTCGTCCTTGGTTGAGCTGACTACTGAGGCTATGCCAACTTGAGCTGTGAAAATTTGACTGCAGGTGTACGAGTACGAAACCAGCTACTTGCAAGATTCGAGCCATTTCGGGAATATGCTGAAAGGGTTCGAAGGGTTTCTGTCTTCTTCAAAGAATTCCTCCAAGTAATTGATTGATTTGGTTTATTTGTTTGTTGCTTAGTGTGTGTGTGTGTGTGCGCGCCTATGCAATATCAATTATGTCCTTTTATGTTTAGAGCTTGAATTTTGGATGAATCCGTGGTTTTGGAGGACTATGAAGTAATTGGGAGTGGAAAACGGAGGAAGTTGGTGCATGCACTACCAGTGTAGTTGATTTTTGGTTTCAGAATTCCTTGATTTTCTTTTGTTGGACATAAATGTAACAACTTTTACTCAATGAATTCATCTTGCAGCTTAAAGAGATCTAGGAAACTGCAGGCGGAAGACAGACTCTTCTCGTTATCTTCAGTTACCTCGCCAGCAGTAAGTTTCAGATTTCCCTAGTCATTGTGTATTTCGCTGCGGTTGGTTTCTAAGTCCTCACTTTTTGATGATGGTGTAACTGCCCTTTGCACATTACTGTGTAGCTTACTTTATACGTTTCAGCTTATGAGGAAGTAATAGTAGCAACTGAGCTTCTGCCCTGGTTATGTTGTAGAGATGCCTCGGTTAGGGACTACATTAAAAAGCTGATGTTTTCAAGTATGTTTGAATAAGTGATAAGTCTCAACTCTCGAGCATTTAAACTGTATGTTCAAGTTTCCAAATAAGTGAAATGATTTTTTTCATTCAAGCGCTTATGTCATCGGCTCCTTAAGGTTGGTTGATGCTTAAGCTGGTTATGCTGATGCAGTATTGATTATGTATCTTTCCTTATCTTTCCTTTCCAAAGAAAACACAAGCAAAATGTCTATTCTTGTTTACTGTAGCCGGAGTACCAATACGTTGATAATGTGATTGTTCTAATCTGGTTTGTGCTTTGGCTCATCAAGCAGATGCAAAGTTTGTAAGACTAGTAGTGATGATTCGTTTGTTGATCTGCAGGCTGAAGAACTTGGGATTGGCCGTGATGGTACTTCTTCTTCCTCTTCTTTGTAGATATGTTTGCCATCAAGTCACTTGATGCAATTTGTAAAATTGCGCCAAAAGTATTCCATAACAGAGAACCACGTAGAAAGCTCTGTACTTATTTGGCGAGACTGAATGAATGGCTTTTATGCTCTCTAATAAACTGAGAAGTTTAATTAATCATCCTGCTTTTTTACTCGTTACAGATGGAAGAATTGATCTTGGTTCAAATCGGGCTAAAGGAGGAATCTTGCCAGCAAATGGGCAGTAAGTATTTAACTTCAGAGAAAACCCCATCTCTAGTAGAAACATGTAGAAACAAAGCTTATTTGTAGACTTCCCAGATTCCAAATGTATGAAAATGATTTGCTTAAATGGAGTTTGCAAAGCCTTTTCAGGGGGAAGCCAAAGAAGGGAAGAACACCAATGGGAACTAGAGATGCAAAGAAACTCAGACCAACAAATGAAGCAGAATTCGATGAGGAAGATGAACCCCTATGAGCTTCAAATGATCAATTGGAGACTTTTGATTCAATCAGCTTGGATTTGTGTGTGCAAACTAATTGTAGCACTGTAACTTATGGAGAGCTATCTGTTGAAGTGTTGTAAGTTGTAACTTATGTACACAATCTTGGTATTGAGCAGTATTCTGAGGAACATTCTAGGTTCAAATGTACAGATCAACTATCTAGCTGCTGCAAAATGATAGTGTAGCTCTTTGCCACTGGTTTATAACCACCAGTTTTATTGTTTTGAGTTGAGTAAAACTGCGAAGAGCGTAGAACTCTTCATATCAACTACACTTGAATCTCCATATCTCAAACACAAGATTGCTTATTCTAGTTGAATGCTTGCTTTTTCTTTTCGTTCTTCCAAATTAGTAGCTGAATACTTGGTAGTGGTGATAGGGAAGCTGTATCTATTGTCTGTTGCAGGTAAGTCCAGAGCACTTTCAATCTAGGAAGGACTGAATTGGCTCTCCAGCACAATTGCTAGCAAGGTATGCTCCACATCATAATTGGATAGAAGATTTCTTACTCTTTTTTTATGTTTCTTATTCTTGCTCCAGGATGTCTAACACTAAGTTTCTGTGTTCCTTTCAGGCTAGAGGATCTTTCTCGGGAGGTACCATAGTGATTAGCAGTGTGGTAAAAACATTCGAGAGAAAGATGAATCTGAAACCCCAGGGGGTGTGCTAAGTCAGAATCTGCAACAGAAACAAAGTTTTGATATCAGTTTCTGCGTGGCTCATTGACTCGACAAATAGGTGTTGGAATTATGGCCTTCATCACTACTTTGGAGTACCAAACTGTTTGCATCATCTTATCAGTTCCCTTGCCCTTGCTCCCGGTGGATGATCAGCTGGTAATTTGGCAGTATAAGTGTATAACAATCTGACGCCTGCATAGTCAAGTCCGGATGTCAGGTTCTGGTTAGGCATTTTGTTTCTGGTTTTTTTAATAGGATGCCATACTGCTTCAGGAGACCATCGTGGCTGGAACTTACGTTGTGTATCGTTATATGGATTTAAGCATCATGCGATGTTTCTTCATATGCCCCATGATAGTGCAGCTTTCGATGAATCTGTTGCAGCCAATTTATATACGAGCTTCACCCCGCCATTACATGGCTGCATTTGTTCTAAAATGAGAGTGCTAATGTTGTTTTTCTGCGTCAGGGAATTTGAAAATCTAGGTTTGTTGTTGCTAACACGATTCCAAATTGCCAATCTTATTCCAAAGGTTCCGATGCTAGGTGGAGCGTAGACAAGCATTCCACTTTCCCCCTTCATTGCCACGGACATCAGATGCGACAAATATCAGAATATCATACTGTACTAATAGAGTATATTATAATGAGAGGCGTTTTCTTTTTAGACTATAAATTAACTAGGTGAACTTCATGCTCTAATTCTCTAAATCCAATTTATAAGATCAATTTAATGCAAAATAATAATTGATAATTTTGATTGGTTAAAAATTCATTAGAGAACATTCAATTCCCAAACCTTACCTCGGGTTGAAAACAACCCTTTGTTTGGACAATTCCTTACACATGAATTGGAGGGTCAGTTAGCATGCTAACTTTTTAAGGGTTGGTTTTTTTGACACCCCATTCCTTATCAGTCAATTTTTTTTTATTAATCATTTGACAAATATTAATAAAAGTAGACATAATAAATGTAACTTGTAGAATTTAATACTTTTATTAAATACAAATTAAGAATTAAATACAACACATTAATTATTTGCATTTTTTAAATCTGAACATATACAAAATGCAATTCTCTCTCCTATCTCAAATCATTCTCTCTCCTATCTTTGATCATTCTTTTCCAGCAACCTCAGACCGACTCCTTCCCAAGCCCCTCTCCCGGTGAGTTTTCAATTTTCAGATCTGACTTTTCGATTTCCAGATCTGATCTTTGTATCACTGCACTGATATTTGTACCACCAGTGTTGTCAAAATCGAACCGGGCAACGATCCAGATTAGTGAGAGATTTAAAGTTTATCGGATAACCGGTGATTAACCGATATAAAATTGGTGGCATATAATATTGCTAAATAAAATAAAAATGGCTTTATGATACATATAAAAATTAGTACTAATGTTTAAATTGAGATTTTTATATCTTATTAACATATTTAATTGAAGAATTCAAGATTAAAAAATATAATTATAGTGATTGGTATCCTGCCTGTTTCCAATGATGCTGATGGCAGTGGTCGAGTCCGTACAGAATCAGACCTTTCTATAACCAAGCTCCCAGTCTATCTCAAGTCCAAGTCTTAATTCTCTAAACCCTAAGATTGTGCATCTTGCATGTTGAATGTATTTGGACAAATAAAATCACCGACTATTATTTCTAATTAAATTGATTTTGGGTACATGATTTAGAGAAAGATGACCGATATTTCACTCAATAAAGGTTATATATACTCTAGTTAATTCAAAATTAAAAGGAAAAATACAATTTCATAGCCATAACTATTCGCGTTGTGACAAATATAGCCAAATTTTGAAAAATACACTCGTATAGCCACTTTTGAAAACTTGTCTGGCAAATTTAGACATTTTCGTTTCAAACATAAACGGAAAGATAGACGTCGTCAGTAATCCCTCTATGGCGCTGAGGTGGATGCCACGCGGTTGCCACATCATCGCCAATTGGACAACAATTTGCCACGTCATTTTTACCTATTATTTTTACCTTCTTTATTTTTACCTATTATCCCCATCCCACTCCTCCATTGTCGATCATTATCAATCCACCTTCCGTTCTAGGTTTCCGGAGGAACACCCCATTCTCGCTGCCGCTCTCTCTCTCTCTCTCTTGCTCTCTTACCCATCGTCGTCGCCTTCTCTCTCTATATTCCCCATTGCCTTCTCCTTCTCTCCTTCCCATCGCCCTCACTTATCTCTCTGGTTCCCGTCGCCGATTTATCCATGTCGCGCAGGGTTGGGCGTAGAAACATTGGCAGGAATTTTGCCGATTCTAGGTCTACGAACATCAAAAGTGAAGGTGCTGGTGTTGTCATTTGCAGGTGCAAAGTCCCTGCTTTGGTACAAACTTCTGGGACTGAGTTGAACCCAGACATACAATTTTATGGTTTCCCTAATTGGATGGTAAGCAAATCGTAGTTTGTATGAACTATTCTATGATGTATTGTGGCTAAGGAATGTCAATGTTGCAGGATCCAAAAGGTGGGTGCAACTTTTTTCGTTGGGTAGGGTCAAGTTCTGATATATCAAAGGCAAGAAACAATGAGGTTGACGGCATGATGATGAAGTTGGAAGAGAGCTTAAGGTTGGCCGAATCAAAGGCAGTGATAAAGAAGAAGGATAACAAACTTCGGGAGGAGGAGTTATGCAATTGGATGAAAATTGAGAAAGATAGAATAGTTGAAGCTCAGAATTTGTATCATGAAATTCGAGTGATTAGATATATGCTCAGTTTCTTCTTGGTTCTGAATATCTTACTGGTTGTAGTTCTGTGGATGTAGTAAGTTTGTAACGATGGTATGTAATCTGTAATCGGTAGCTAACAATGTTAGGGTATTGTGTTCTGTTTGCAAGTTGAATTTTAAAGTTGGTATGAAATGGGGTAAACAACCTATTCTATTTGCAAAAGATAGCATGGAACAATAGACTCTAACATAATCCTTGCAAAATATAGGGCTTCTACAATAGTCTGTATCACACAATAACAAGCATCTTAGTGCCTGATTACATGAGTCGACAATAGTCTTGAACATCACCCTAAGATAAAGAGTTTCCTTCAGCTACACCTAGCAAACAAACCTAAAACTTAACATAAATCGTCTTAACCGAGTTAGATGAGTCGACCAAAATAGCCACTAACAAGGTCCTTCTAAGGTTGGGTTGGGAGCTTCGTACAAAAACACGACTCATGAGAATTAACTTCTCTTCTAAGGTTGGCTTGGTGGCAGCTGGCTCCCTGGCAGATCCACCTCAGTAGGTTGGGTGAGACGAGCTGGAGGACCATTCCCAACATACCTCCCATTTGCCCCATTCAGCTACATTCAAGAACCTTGTTAAATGTCTTATTGGTGATGACACATGAAAAATTGGTCTAACTAAGAAAGAAAACATTTACTCACCCTAACATATTGATTACCAGTGGTCTCATCAACATAAACACCAATTCCTATGGTTGCTTGACGAAACTCCCTTTCAATCGTAACACGATTGCCAACATTCAACTTCACATCCTAGATGGCAAACAAAACAGTCAACCTAACAAATATGGATACTAGTCAACCTAACATTCATCTACAACTTACCCTAAACACTTACTTGTATTCTCACTCTCCTGTTCAACGGACATGTCCTTGCATTGTGTGTGACAGAGCCACAATTGGTTGCCTCTCCTCTGCCTTGGTTGATTCCGACTCTGTGGAGCAGTAGTGGCAACCCACTCAACTGCCAATCGGTTGCACTCTTTCAGATTCAGGTCTACGATGTAACCTTCAGATCCCATTTTGACTTCACGTCTCATATTCTGAGATTGCCTAGCTACACACAGCCTAGCAAACTCCTTCTCCTTCTCTAAACGTTTCCTAATTCTAGGACACAGAACATCAATACTCCCATGCAACATATTATACTTGATCACCAGTCTCTTCATCATATACCCCCTGATCCCTTCAAGCATGTCTATAATACAAAATCCTCTGTACTTCACAATGTTTCCATTCTAGGTCTCAGATATGTTACTCTCGACACTATCACACTTAGGAATGGTAGACAAGAAAGCACGACAAAATCGTGTTGGATCAACATCCATAAAGTCCTTAAATGGTGTTGGTCCATCTCCATTACCTTTAATAGTCTCCATCTCTTGAGTAGCCTTTTTCCAGTCAGATTCATTGCATGCATACACTGCCTTCCAAAAAAATTTCCGAGTCATGTCAGTCTTGTTCTTGGCTTTCTAGTTGGCATACACATGCCTAGCATATTTTCAATGCTCAGCTTCTGGTAGAATTGAGTGTATCGCTTCAACGAGACCCTAGTGGAGTGAAAATGGATTAGTTTACAAAGCATGAAAAAAGATTTATAGTAAAACACATGAAAAGTTATTATACCTTCTGCTGGTCCGATATAACAGTCCACCCTCTACCATCCATTAAACCAAGTTCTTCAGTTAAAATATCCACGAACCATGTCCAAGAGTTGGTATTTTCCCCTTCCACAACCGCCCAGACAATTGGAAACATCTGGTTGTTTCCATCTTTACCAACTGCAGTGAGAAGCATACATTTTACCTCCCCTTTAAGAAAACAGCCATCGAGACAAAACATAGGTTGATAGCCCAAAAGGAATCCATCCTTCAAATAGGAAAAGCCAAAATATAAACGCTTGAATAAGCACTTATCCTCATCTGGGTGTGGGTCAACTTCTAGCTGGAAACGACCTTCCCTATCTCTCTTCTTCAGCTCAACAACATATCTCCTAATCAGGTTATACTCATGAATAAAGGAGCCACTTAATATCTTAATAGCTTCTACTTTAGCTCTGTAGCAAGTTCTCCTCTTCACCTCCATGTTGTGCTTTAACTTCACCTCATCCATAATCTATTTTGGAGCCCACTCTGGGTTAATTCTGAATCTGTCTAACATATTCGAGGCTATCCACTTTGTTGTGACTTGGTTAACTGAGAGACGCCTTGCACATGAGTGTGGCAACCCCACTTTCCTTATCATGAAGCACTTATCCTTCCCAAACCCGCTTGCATACGACATCCATGGACAGTTCTCATCTTTACACTTCACCTCTCTCCTCGTAGGGTTGCTCCGAACCCATCTTATACATGCACCATATGCTACAACATGTCTTACAACACCATCTTTGAATTGCTCTACCCCATCAAATTTCATTTTACATACAAACTGAAGTGTCTTATGGTCGCAAAGTGGATCATACCGTGGTGCATCATCGTACAACTCACCACCCTCCTCATTTGACAAGTTTCCTCTTACATGATCTGAGTCTTCTGAAAATCTGTAGTTCGAATGCTGAGAGTCCTCCCCATTGACATCATATCGAGGTGGCTGAGGTTGTACAGGTTCCTCTGTATTCTGGTGGGTAATGGAGTGGTGTGAATTCTCACCATCATCTCCTTCCTCCTCCCCGTTGTCAGAGTCATCTTCTTCGAATTCCTCAAGCCGGTCTACCTCTTCTCCACCAACAACAACTCTTGTAATCACTTTTCTTTTCCTCCCTTCACCATATGCACGTAGGTTAGCTCTAGCCTCGGGATATTCATCATCCGACGTCATTGCGTCATCCGAATCATAAACATGATAGATATCAGGAGAAACGGATGCAGCTCCAATA